TACAAAATCAAACCAGTCCTCATCATCAAATACATCAAACAAAGCAAAAGACCAGTCTAATTCATCACAGAGTTTTAGCTCAAAATCAGATCAATCAAAATCGTCAGGTCCAACATCAAATGTCACCTGTAACTATTGTAAAAAGCCTGGTCATCTTATTTCTGAATGCTATAGGATTAAGAATAGAAGAGAGATGTCTGGTTCTGCTCATTCAAATGGTTGTGCTACAGTTCCCATTTCAAGAAAGCCCATTGTTTGGGATTCATATACTCATACTGAGAAATCTACTCATGGTGATATTATGGAGGATTATAAGCCATTTATGTCCGAAGGATCTGTGTCACTGTCAAGTGATGGTACCAATTCAAAGCCAATTAAGATTCTTAGAGACACGGGTGCATCTCAGACTTTGTTGTTAGAAGGCGTCCTTCCTTTATCTGAGGAGTCATTCACAGGTACCCATATTTTGATGCAAGGCATTGAATTAGGATTTACTAAAGTTCCCCTCCATCGTATTCATATCACATCAGAGTTAGTCAAAGGGCCAGTTATTGTTGGTGTTAGGCCACAACTTCCTGTTGAAGGAGTCGCATTGCTTTTAGGCAATGATTTAGCTGGGGGTAAGGTATCATTAGACCCCATTGTTTCTGATCAGCCTTGTTCTATTGAGGATTCTGTCCAAGAGGACTCTGATATATATCCTGCTTGTGCTGTTACTAGGGCTATGGCTAAAAAGTTAGCTGATAGCGGGGATTCGTCTGTGGGAGATGACTTTGATAGTGGGTTTTTAAGCTCCTTGTTTGATGATGAATGTCACTCACCACTTGTTAAAGATGATCCTTATCCTATTTTAAAGGCAAATTCTTCATTGAAACAGCCTTCTGTTCGAGCCAAGCAGTCATCTATTGAGGCAAATTCTTCATTGAAAAAGCCTTTTGCCAGAGGTGATTCACCTTCTGAGCAGGATCACTATTTTAATGCGGTTTCGCCCGCTCTTGCTAGTTCTGATGAAGTTTCATCTTCTTCTGCTAGTGTTCATGAGGTTTCATCCCCTCCTTGTTCTGAGGTTTCATCCTCTTCTAGTTCTGAGGTTTCATCCTCTATTTCTGATAGTGATTCTTTGAAAAATGATCCTCATTCTAAACACATGTTAATTTATGAACAAGAGCATGATCCATCACTCATTGATCTTCATAAAAGATGTCTTACTATTGATGAAGCTGACAAGGTCCCTGTTTGTTTCTACAAAAAGGATGGCATATTAATGCGAAAGTGGAGACCTCCTGAAGCTTCCCCTGAAGATGCTTGGACAATTGTACATCAAATTGTTGTCCCCAAATCATATCATAAGGAAATCTTGAGTCTAGCTCATGATTCTCCCATGGCAGGTCATTTAGGAGTAACTAAAACATACCATAAAATACTCAATCATTTCTATTGGCCCAAATTAAAACAAGATGTCCAAGAGTATTGTAGGTCTTGTCATACATGTCAAATGGTAGGGAAACCTAACCAGAAAATTCCAACTGCTCCTTTACACCCTATACCTGCATTTGATGAACCATTCAGTAAGGTTCTTATTGACTGTGTTGGTCCATTACCAAAAACAAAATCTGGTAATCAATATTTACTCACTATTCTTTGTATGGCCACACGGTTTCCAGAAGCGATTCCACTCAGAAATATCAAAGCCAAAAATATAGTGAAATCACTCATCAAATTTTTCACCTTAGTTGGACTGCCAAAAGATCTTCAGTCTGATCAGGGCTCAAATTTTATGTCAGGCTTATTCCAACAAGTCATGGATACCTTGGGTATCAAGCAGTGTAAGTCAAGTGCCTATCACCCAGAGTCTCAAGGAGCCCTAGAGCGTTACCATCAGACGCTTAAGACCATGATTAGAGCTTTCTGTTTTGAATATGAGAAAGACTGGGATGAGGGTATACCCTTGCTTCTGTTTGCTACTAGGGAGGCTAAGCAAGAATCATTAGGGTTCAGTCCATTTGAGCTAGTATTTGGTCATTCTGTGCGTGGTCCACTTAAATTGCTAAAAGAAAAGTGGCTGACAGAAACTGAAAGGTTTAATTTATTGAACTATGTCACTGGGTTTAAAGAGCGCCTATCAAAGGCTTGTGAAATAGCCAAAGAAAATTTGCTCAAAAGCCAAGATAAAATGAAAACCTGGTACGATAGAAAAGTCAAAGAAAGATCATTTCAGCCTGGTGACAAAGTTCTTATATTACTGCCACTTCAGACAAATCCGCTACAAGCAAAATTCTTTGGTCCTTATGTAGTGGATTCCAAGGTCAATGACCTCAATTATATTGTCAAAACTCCAGATAGGCGCAAAGAAACACAACTGTGTCACATCAATATGATGAAAAGGTACTTTGAGCCAGACAAAGAGCATGACTCAGTTAAACCTGTTGTCACTTTGGCACCTGCCCTTGTAAAAGAAACTGATCTACAAGATTCAGATGATATCAATTGTACTGATTTAGACTATGAAGATATCAAAGGTTTGTCTAGGTTAAAGAACTCTGAAGTATTATCAAATCTAGATCATAAATTGCACCATGTGTCAAATGATCAAAAACGGCAAGTCACAGACTTAATTCATGAGTTCACTGATATCTTCTCTGATGTACCGACTAAGACATCTATAGCTTATCATGATGTTGAAGTCCAAGATGTAACCCCTATTAAGCAACATGCTTACAGAGTAAATCCATCAAAATCAGAAGATTTGAGAGCTGAGGTCAATTATATGTTAGAAAATGACATAATTGAAAAGAGCAATAGCCCATGGAGTTCACCAGCTTTCATTGTACCAAAATCAAATGGTGGACGTAGGCTAGTAGTTAATTATATCAAAGTGAATCGAGTAACAAAGACCGATTCTTATCCCATACCACGAATTGACGACTGTATTGACAAAATTGGAACTGCTAAATATGTCAGTAAATTTGATCTCCTCAAAGGATTCCTAGGGGTTCCATTAACTGAAAGAGCAAAACAGGTATCTGCCTTTGTTACTCCTGATGGTTTGTACCAATTTAAAGTTATGCCATTTGGTATGAAAAATGCACCTGCCACATTTCAAAGAATGATGAACAGCTTATTAGCAGATCTCAAAAACACTGGTGTATACATCGATGATGTAATTGTCTATTCTTACACTTTTGATGAACACATGTGTTTGCTGCGTAAGTTGTTTGAAAGAATTTCTCTGGCCAATTTAACAATCAATTTGGCTAAAAGTGAATTTTGTAAAGCCACAGTTGAATATCTGGGCCATGTGGTAGGTCAGGGGCAGGTCAAACCAGTGAGTGCCAAAGTGGAATCAATTACACAACTCCCAGCTCCTACTAACAAGAAAGAATTAATGAGAAGTCTTGGAATGGCTGGCTTTTATAGGAAGTTTTGTCCAAATTTCTCTTCAATTGCTCTTCCATTGACCAATTTACTTGGGAAAAACATCAAATATGTGTGGTCTGAGCAATGTCATACAGCCTTTGATAAAATCAAGGCCATACTAAGTGAAGAACCAGTGCTTGTTGCACCTGATTTTAGCAAGCCATTCAAGATTCAAGTAGATGCTTCTGATGTAGGAATGGGAGCTGTCCTATTACAAGAAAGGGATGGTATTGATCATCCAGTGTGTTATTATTCAAAGAAATTTGATAAACATCAGAAAAACTACTCCACCATAGAAAAGGAATGTCTAGCATTACTTCTGTCATTACAACATTTTGAAGTATATGTTAGTGCACCAGTTCATGCAGTTACTGTATTTACTGATCACAATCCGCTGACATTCCTTCATAGAATGAAGAACAAGAATCGTAGATTGTTGAGGTGGAGTCTGTTATTGTCAGAGTACAATCTTGACATAAGACACATCAAAGGCAAGGATAATTTAATTGCTGACACTCTTTCAAGAGTGTAATGTCTCTATTTTTAAGAGGCTATTTGACTTATACTGCATTTGCCTAAGGCTTTGTGTTGATATAATAAAAGGATTGTACTCAGAGTGTGATTTGATAATATTATTGTAATATGATTTTTATTGTATTTGACTATTGTAAACAAATATTATGTAAGTCTCAGCCTCACCTTTAGAAATTGTAACCCTCGCTACACAAGATATTATTGTAAAAGTTTTTCATTGTATTCAAAACTTTTCTTTTAAGGAGGGAGGTGTTACAGTATTATATTCTATTATATTCACATTAAGTTTAGTTTATCAATATGCATATACTGTAACTGATCTTCATTAGAGATCTTAGGTCAAGTCAAGGTCACAATGACATTATGTTATGTATCTTGTAAACATAACTGAACTGAATGACTCATTAACTCTTGGCCTTCTAGAAAGTACTGGAACTGTAATCATTTAATCAAGATTGAATCATGTGACTTAAGATGTCCAATCAGTGTTATTTTCTAGAAAACGTAACTTCTTGAAGCATCTGGACTATGCCTTTGCACTATATAATGAGAGAGCTGATTTGGGCTGTCAGCAGAATTTCAAAGTTTATCAAAAGGACATCTTCTTAGCAGAAAATTACAACAACCTACTGTGGGAACATTTATAACAATACAAACATACAACCTGAGGACTTTACATGGACATATATTACAACACACACTATATACGGATTATCATAAACATTTGTGGATTATCATCAAACATTTGTGGATTATCATCAAACATTATTGGATACAAACATTATAGGATTACAACAAACATTATTGGATTATTACAAACATTGGAGAACTATTAACGATTATTGAAACATTTCGTGATCTGGAACTTTCTCAAGGATCGTCAACGACATTTATCGACATCAAGAATAAGCCGTATCATTGATTGGACATCACTTAAGTATTAAACCTCCTTTATATTATTGTTATATTATTTAGTTTTTCAAAATATAAATATATTGTTATCATATTTTAATTGCTGTTTTTACTTTCTGTTATTTTCGTACGTAACAGATCTCATCTTTAAGCGATATTTTAGCGGCATCTGTCTCTGATTGCCGTGTTTTTTTCTTTGGCATAGGCGCTTTGCTCGGGCGGGAACGTTTCGGGGGCTTTGCTTTGGGCATGCTTCACAGCTGTTTATGAACAAACCTGGAAAATAAAAACGGATCGAGTATATCTGGAAACAATACATTTTCGGAAATATGTAATACACGACCATTGCCTGAAACATGTGGGACGGTAATTAATCAGTTTTAGTCTAATCAAACACACGTTTCCACTTATCATATATCAACTTGAAAAAAGTGAAGAAACAAATCAAATATGTCAACACCTTAGTCATGAGCAGGCAGTTAATTGAAACTGTATACCAATTAAACAACTTAAGTTAAACACATTTAAGATAAACACGGTGTAATTTAAGGCCTGGGATGGAAACCCATAAACAATTTCAATTCGAAATCCCCAGAACCTTATAAATGTGAGTAAAATTAGCACAAAGAAAAACTCCAAATGTTAACCCACTCATTGCCATTATAACTGAAAAAGCCTATCAAGTTCATTGTACGATATAAGTCATATCGTTCATGAAAAACATCCAAGACATAACTATTCAGATCATGAATTCATATCTCATATACTACAGTAATATTTTGCGTACATAATTGCGTAAGCCGCCATAAGCAGCATATATTAAAAAACATTGCTACCAAAAGTGGCACATAATGTATAAGCCGCCATAAGCAGCACCTTAGGAAAGTTGCTACCATAAGCAGCGCACCTATTTTACAAGCCGCCATAAGCAGCACATATTTTAAGATTGCCGCCATAAGCAGCACATATCACAATTACTGCTGCCATAAGCAGCACATATTTTAAATTTGCCGCCATAAGCAGCACATATCACAATACCTGCTGCCATAAGCAACACATATTTTAAATTTGTCGCCATAAGCAGCACATATCACAATTACTGCTGCCATAAGCAGCACATGTTGTAATTTTGCCGCCATAAGCAGCACACATCACAATTAATCCTGCCATAAGCAGCACATATCATAAGAAAAGGCCAGCATATGTGGCATGTTGTTTAAAACCATCATAAAGATTCAACCATAAGCAAAACACCCTGAGGTACTCACTGTTTCTAATTGCGATGAGTTCCCTTTTGATATTGTTGGCAAAACATCTATTGCCCTCGTCTGTTAAGTGAATGCCTTTGTTATCAAACTTCAACGATACATTGTTCATGAAGCCAAAATTACGGCATATCAATATCTTCTTATGAGATCCTTGTAAGTCGGAAATTCTTGAATTAAGGGCCAAGCGTGCTCTTTCATAATCTTCGAAACCAATGCGTGGTTTTAATCTCTTAAATACGTGACCAACGCAAACGACCTTTACATCGTCATATCCTTCTGCAATAAATTCGGCGAAACTTTTGATTGCCGTGAATATTTTTTCAATGTTAAAGTTGGGATTATCCAAGTCATTTCCACCTAATTGCAAGTAAACTATACGAGGGTCCGATTTTACCATCATATCTGTTAAATAGGCGACTAAACTTTTCCTCTGAAATCTGGATCGTGATTTAGGAGACCACTCAAATGTTCCACCTCTAATACCACGAAAAATCAAGTCAAATTGGGTTAAAGATAGTCCCAGATTGTTTTTACATTTCATTTGATAAATGTTCAGCCAGTGTATTAATGAGTGTCCAAATATCAAAACGGGTATTTTACTCATGGTTGTATTTGTACATATATACTATTATATACGTAATCAAAGTTATTAAATCACTTCACTCACCGAATGACGGTAGACGTAGTCCAAATCCTTACGGTTATCCCGAAGTGTCCAAATGTAGGGCGAACAATATATATTGTTAACAGTTCCACAACATATATAAAATGTATTTATATATGTAATATTTCCAAATATAGCAATATAAACTGATAAAGTGTGAATACTAGTATAGTATTAATAATATTATTTCATAAACTTGTATTAACACAGAAAATATATTTGAAGTGTTCTTCTGCTGTGTACGTCTCTGCTTTAAGAAATAAAGAATGTGAACCACTCACATTCCCAAGCTCCGCCCACTAATTATAATAATGACTGTGATAATAGACAAGACGCTATGTTCATAAAAACACTTATTTGGAATAAGTGAATATTTAAGAATCAAGATGCTATTGTCTATCATTTGAATATTTCATTTTTGAATCAAGATGACATTGTCTCTTAATGTAATATTCTATTATTGGAATAAATATGCTATTGTCTCTCATTTGGATATTCTATTTACAGATTATCAAGATGCTGCTGTTTCTCATTTGAATATTGAATCAAGACGTTATTGTCTTTAATTCTAATATTCTTTTTTCCAGATATATGCGCAGATATTGAGGTTGTTCTGGATTACTCATGCTCTCTATCGAGAAAGACCAGAGACCTAGCCAGGAATGCTTCAAAAGCAATAGGGTATCATTTACTAGACTATGACCCGAGTCTTTTAAGAACAAGATTTGGGATAATTACATATGGAGACTTGGTAACTCGTGTAAAAAATTTAGGTAATGAGTGTTGAATGTATAATTAACATAATGAAAACTCACCAATTTTTTAACATCTTATTTTCAAAACAACTGTTTGCGCGCGTAATGTACCGTTCAGTAAAATGGCTACGAGTAATGCTCGTCAAAGATAACCATTATAATTTATTTGTTAATTCTTAACGAAAAGTAATTTACACAATTAATATGCTGAGATAAACTTTATTTTCTGTTATTATCAAATGAATGCTTAAAAGTACACAGGGAGATATACCGATTACTCAATTAGTACAATTAAAATAAGTACTAAATAATCGGCACTCTGAAAAAATGAGCACTAATGACATGAGTGCTAATTTAGTACTAATTTTGTACTAATTGAGTACTCACTGAGTAATGTAAATCAATAAAATTGGCGCTGTTTTACCATTCATCATATGAGTACTCATTTAGTACTAACATGCAATAAATCAGTACTCACGTCATAAGTGCTCATTTAGTACTAATATTTACAGAAAAGAGTACTCAATTAGCGCAAAAATGCCATGAGTACTATTTTAGTACTCGGCATATCTACCTGTGTAGAAAGATAACTGAGTATATTTCTTAGCTTAGCTATATATTGTGTAACTTAAAAGGATTGCCATTTTGAGCAATACATCAATGGTGTGTCATTACTGCAATTGTTGTCGTTCAAGGGTTTGGGCAGCAAAATGCAGATATTTCACGTGGTGATGCTGGTTTTCTGATATGCCATATACTCTACTTGGTTCAGCTGATACTCTAGCTAGGGAACTTCGACCCGAATGTATGCCTCGGAAAGTGGCGGGATGTGATATTTAGATATATAGGCACATGTTTCTACACAGTCAGAATACCTTGTTCGATCCTGGTTTGAACATAGTTGGGAAAATCAGACTCAATAGTTTTGTCTTCATGGTCTGGCCTATATTCCATTTAATTTGCACCAATAATCCATAGATATTCTATTTCATTGTTAGATTGTTAGGTATTACATTTTTAACATGTTCGCCGTTCGTTTGAACTCCATGAACGTGTTCCAACGTTCCACAATACATCTGACCTTGGTCACTTCGTATTGTGTGACGACTCCCTAGTCGTCAATTGACTATGACTGCAGCATGGTGTCATGGTATCAATGTCGCTAAGGAACTCGAAAGCCTTTCTAAAACCCCAGCCTTCAATAGCCACACATCCCAAGGATATTCTTCATATCTGTTCGAAACATACAATAGCAGCATCTTTGTTCCTTTCGAAATAAGTGGGACTTATTTTGTATAACCGCTTATAAGTGAGAGAAGACAGGCTATTAGTCCTGCACTGGTCACTTCTGCTTGATACAGAGACGACTGGGATTGATGGTTTGAGTAAAGCGTTTGCTATTGAGAGCTGAGTGACATGGCGTTTCTGTTATTGCCATATCATGCATTTGGCTTTGTATAGAAAAGGAGCATATGGTAGCAAATCCTAGGTAGTTTTCAATTCATCTCGTCTATTTCTATAAAAGACGAGACATTTTTTTTAATTTGTTTCCATTAAAATGAATACACGTGTGCTTGGGGAATTGAAGATCAAAATCCAAATAAGTCATGAAGATATGCTATATTGCGGGAGTTAATAGACTGTTCATATATCAGTAAGTCAAACGGAGTTAATTTATATAAAACTCATTTTAATCACGTTTTTGTGAAAATATTTAAGCTCATTCTCAATACCGATATGACACCGCTTACCCCCCTATCACACCAAACTAGTTCTTACCCGTTCTTGCCAGTCCTACGAAAACGTCGTAAAACGGGCTCAATCTGGCTATGGTCGGGAAATATGTCTAAAATAATTAGCTACTTCGTTCATAAACAGTCTTTGATACGTCCATCTCATTCGCAGTTCGTACAGGTCGCACCAGGTCGGTGTGCAACGTCGTATAACGCGTCCCTTAGTCTAGAAGGTCATCATGACCTGATTACAGAACGGTATGGTCGCCATCGAATTTTGAATCGATTCAAAATTCTAAAATCACCTTCCCGTCTGAGAACGTTCATAAAGTTTCAGTTTAAACCCGTTTGCAATTAGTTCTACCTCGTTCTAAATACGTCCTCAGACAGATCAACTCGTTGTTAAAACGTCCCTACAGTAGTAGGATGGAAGTACGGCGGTTCCGTTCGTAGTACGTCCAGCTCGTCGTAAGTACGTTGTCACTCGTTCTTATTGTAGAACGTATCGACCACGAGAACATTTTGAGCATGTTCTAAGTTCTAGACGACCTACCCGTTCGAGTACGTTCGATGAAGTTTGTAAATAGACCCCAAACGGTTCTAAGTACGTCCAGTCCATTCGTACACAGTTGAAGCCCGTTTTCGAGAACGCAGTGAGAACTAGTTTGGTGTAATAGTAGGGTTAAGAATTATCATAACCATCGTTTTGTTGTACGTTTCTTACTCTCATTTAATCTGTATTCGGTTTTTAATTCTTAATCCTGTGTTTTTAATCAGATGTTAATGTGTTATGTCATCTATAAATTAGTTGAAGATATAATTAACTAAAATCAATATTATTCTGAATCGTAGTGAAGTAATACAATACCTTAATTATTTTCTTCGTGATCGCATTGTGTTGTGTTGTATTATTTACTTTAATTGTATTGGTATTGTCTCTTGAATAACATTATCCTATTCAATATGTGCAGTTTTCTCAACAATTTAGCGGAAAGAACATCTGACAGAAAATGATTATTCGGTGACTGTGGGGTTATTAAGTACGTGAACAGAATACCCCTGATACTTATACCAAACGTAATGTCCCGAAGTTGTCAAAAAATAACTTATCGAATTGTGTTTCTCTCAGTTTAGGACAAATACAGACTTTTTCATTTAGATGAAGATGCCAACGCCTTTGAGCTCGTGGCTAGATTTGATGAGATAGACGTCAAAAGGAAACAAGGCCCGAACTGTAGGACACACACGCATCTTGCTTTACAAGAGGTACAGAACTCATTCAAGAAATATGAAAGGACTGATGTCCAACAAATAATTCTATTGTTTACTGATGGACTAACCTTCAAGCGGCGGAATAGAGCATCCATGTATATTGCAGCTGATAGATTAAAAACAAGCGGTGTTATTATATACACGATTCAGTTACCGCATAAGTATGTTATCTATAACCAATCAACATTGTTATCTGTTGTATCTAGATATTATAATCCGTGAAATAATTATCTCAAGTCGACTAATACTTTATTTCAGTAATAACAATCATCTACTAAATGAAACTGATCTCAATATAGCAATAATTTTTATTGCCATCGCATAATTCTATTTGTAGACAAGGGAAGTTCCAAGAACAAGAATATCTGAGGGTACCACACAGTGAAAATCATTTGTTTAACGGTACCGACATCGAGATTACTAACCTAATTGTTAGTCAGATGCGAATAGACGCCCCTTGCCTGGTGTAATATGTGTGACTTGTATGGATTTGGATTAAAACATATAAACATTATTGTTATGGAATACAGTCTACTATACCTTGCATTTAGTGTACATGAGCAACCCATTTGGCTAATAGTAATGATTGTGTTATTTGTTTTTATTTGTCTGTTCCTTATGGTTTATCGGAAGACTGATAGATAAGGTACTTGCAAAAATAAACAAAACAATACAATTAGACAAACAGAGTATATTATGCATTTCTAGGGGTTGGGTAAAGTTGAGTGAAATGTTATAATATTGAATTATATTCTTCCGTAATATAGACCTTTTACAACGTCACTCTACTATACCTAACACCTAGAAATGCATAAGATACTTTCTTTGTCTAATTGTATTGTTTAGTATATTTTTGAAAGTGCCTTAGTGACATCTAACATTCAACCGATAAACCATTAATAAGGAACAGACAAATAAAAAAAATACATAATCATTACTAATAAGCCAAATGGGTTGCTCATGAACACCAAATGTAAGGTATAGTAGAGTGAACATATACCAAAGAAAATACTTCTGGAATTGTAAAAACAGTGATCATGAGGAAGCAATAGACTTCAAATACGTATTTGTACAAGTACGGGAATGGATAAGTGACATTTCATTGGAATAAATGAAGATTTGTCAACTGCAATACACTGGCGATCTAACTACTTGCTACTTTTGCCCAATTGTGTTACAAAAATCCACTGGAGTGGAAGAAAAATGTGTTTTTGCAAATGTTTTAAGTTGTATAAAACTGAGGTTATGGTTGTAAATGCTTAATAAATCTTGAAACCAATATAACGTAACTTTTTGGCTTATTCTATAGTCTGCCAATTCTCATCGTATACAATACTAGTATGTATATATTTAAAACAACACGCACGGGTGTTAAAACACGAATATGCCATGAGCACATGCTTTGAGGATCCGCGTTGTTTGAACCTACCGCCGAGCACACTTATACATTAAGACCCGTTACACAGTCATGATACCGCCGAGCAAGCTCATTGCATCATCGGGTCTGCTTTACCCCCGTGAACACGACTCGTACTTAATACATTTTGTTAGCTTTATTTGAAATCACTACCAGAAAACCTGATTAATTGGGAACTCTCCGAAATTGACTAAATATGAGAGAATAAAAACATTCGTTATACAAGATATGACCAAGGATTTTTCGATTATCTTCCTTTTACTCGAAACTAACATCATTCACTCTTGGTGAAATGCCAATGGAGATGAAGTAATATGCCAACGGAATCATGGTTGAAGGAAGTCATCTTTTCATTAACCGTATCACTCCCAATGTCGTTTTAAACATAACGTAAAGTCCATTCAGAGCTTGCCAAATCCTTTCGTTCAGGGCTCACACCCTATGCGTATCTCAAAATAATGCATTTCATTGTAATATAAGTTGATTGCTTAATATGTTTATTAATGTAATGGTATACATAACTCCGATGCAACAGAATGTAATCAAATGACATACAGTGTATTCTCATTAAATATCTTAAAAACCATTCTTCAACATTTGTAAAAGTCAGTTGTGAGCATTCAACCTTACGACTGCATACGTTCGAACAATTGGCAGGTTCAAGTATATCGTATGTCCGACTTCCTATTAAAGATTGAATTTGTAAACGATTAATCTTCATACATATTAGCTAATTTATGCAAATTACTAAAACATCACTTGTATTGCGTTAAATGGCAATAAATAATGTAAAGGGTAGCTTTATGCCAGTAAGTACATGCGAAAATTGGACTGACCTATACAGCATTATCTAAAATGAGAATGTAATGGCAATGAAACTCATAAGCGACGACATATTGGATTCGTTGGAGTAATTGATCGACTTCCGGTACATTAAGTCACATGTTCTTTGGATGGTCTCGCAGACACAAGTAAGACACTTTGATAATACGTTATTTTGTTTCCCTAGGATGCTTTGCCGATGATTTATTCGATGATGCCCTGTTGTACCAGTTGACTTATTTTAAGGCTGCCTTATATCATTCAAGTACACGAATGAATCCATTTCGACAAGTTTGAACATACACAAAGAACACATCGGTTATTAAATGATGCGATATTTCAAACTGTACAAAATCGAAGCAATCTTTGATATAAGTATACATCCATCTTGTTACGCTTAGTCACATAACGTATTTATATATTGTTTCCATATATCATACTATTAGATAAGTTATTAAATTGTTCTTAACATTAATTATATATAAGTGGTTTGTAAAGTAATTTATATCCAATTGCTGTTAACTATATACAGCATACGATGCGCTATCGTTTGACTAAGCGTCTCATATAATTTGAATACGTTTTGTTCTTAAATTCTAGATACAGAGTGACACAAAAAGTGGCACCCATATAATGTTCTGTGGATTTTTTGTCTGCATGATTCCTGACATGTTCTTCAGAACATTCAAACTCGACTCCATGGAGCAACCATGCCGTAAGAAGTTTCAGATGACTAACTCAACTGGATGCACTTTTATGAGCGTTATAAGATGTGGTCTAAATGTTAGGCACACCTGGATTCTATGGCCGAGATTATTGACGACGCTACATTTTCCCACAGAAATGGCTATGATCTTTCTGTTGATCTCTATCTTCAGATGTTCTATGGTTTAAGGGGTTGTTGCATAGACATGGTCATTCAAGTACCCTCAGCGATAGAAATCTGGATGGTTATTTCAGGCAAGCGTAATCATTAATTTGCCACTAGAATCCAGAAGTGTGCCTGCAATGGAATGGACGCCATGTTGAAGACATCTTGTAACGGTCATAAAAGTGCGCAGTAATTGAGTTAGTCATCGGAATCGTTTTGTAGAGTTGCTCCATGCAGTCTAGTGTTAAGAAGATGTCAGGAATCTATAATGACAAAAAAAGTTATTCAAAATTATGTGGCTAGAACTTTTTTTGTGTCACACTGTACATACGATAATTTTATCTGTGGGCTAATGTTATGATGCGTTAGCTCAAACGTGAAACCAATTAATTAAAACCTGAAAGGCAGACTGATTATATGACTTTGATACTTTAGAATAGTTGAAACTTTTATGTACTATTTATATAATATTCAGCAAAACGCATAAATTAACGATGAATTCTAATTTTGTTTTTACTAATGTATTTCAGATGTGATCAATATATATATAACAAATGACAATAATGTGACTTTATTAAATAAAAGTGTGACCTAATACATCAGATGCGAGTAGAAATTATCTTGATTTAGTTCAATAAAAATTCAAAATTCAGGCAAACTGATGTCATATTTGGAATCTACATATAGGTATAATATAAAGTTACATCTAGAAATGTGGTTTTGAAAAGAGTTAATCAACTCTGAAAATACAATTTTCTTTGAAAATTTGACTTCTAGGTCGGGGAGATTCCCCATAGACCCCATGTTGTAAAATCACAAAAAGTGAAATATCTTTTCTTGCGTTGGTCAGGTAATATTTTCCTTTACTGGACATATTTTAATTTGTATAACTATCAGGTACATAAGGGTAATATGAAAAGTGAACCACTAAAACTGATGATTATTTAAGTTAAAGGGAATTTTCTAATACCCTGTCATGTTATTTCCCCCGAATCAGCCACCTGGTGGCAAAAGTGGTAACTACCTACTCGCATCTGAATAATTGTTAATGATTTGAAAAATAAATTATTTGACCAATGCAAAAGTTCGCGGAACATGAGTAACAGTAAAACATCAATATACTAATAACAAATTAAAATAATGCAACGTTATTATATGATTTTTGAATTATTCCTGATTATACTAGTCGTAGAAAATTGGAAAAATAATGCCTAATTCATTAAGATTATTAATTGATACATCGATGTATGCTAGAAATATGTTAAGCATTGAATAAATCATTAAGAAACTTTATATTTGAGTTCATATGAAATATGCTCATGGTATACATGTACTATTTGATCTTAAATTACCAGGTGAGGTCTTGTTCTACGCAGGATGATATTCATTATATATTCAGAAGTACATAAATAATATAATTAACAGACATTAACTATGTTCAATACAGGATAAATCCATATAACAATACAAAATCCTTATTTTATAGTCGTATGTAATATATATACATCATTAAATCAAACCAAATTGCGTTTTTACATTATCCTATGTTGTACTTTATTCTAAAATGCTATGTTTCAAATCAATAGTACAGACTTTTCATTTCACAGTGGCTAAGTTGTTTGAGGTATCTTTGATAATCACTTTCGCTGACAATAGATTTCCTCCTTCAGATAGGTGTTTTCCATCTATCTGTTCCCTGAAAGTAATGACAGTAGGAAAGTTATAAATAAAAACCCGACTTATAGATATGGAGCTTATAAAAAGAGCATCACTTTAAAATACATTTAATAAGATTTTGTTTTTGTGATGTAACAGAAATTGGATTTGGAGCATATTGTTTACTATGAATTGAATTGTAAGTAATTTTAGATGACCCCATTCTTGTTCAAGGATCATATTCCCTTTCAGTCCGATGCAGAAGACGTTCGTCATTTGTGTGTATCTATTACTTGTACCCCTGTGCATTATGGGTGGTAAGAATACACGCGAAGTTGGCATCAATGGAAAAGACACGTCTATAAAAGTTACAATAGGTAAGTTAAGCGGGCATGAACTTTAAAATTAATTGATCGATTTTTATATTTGTTTTGCCCATGTTATTTCGTGCCCATGCGGTGTCTCGCCATCTGTCCTAACCCGCACGATGGCAAACGGTCCGCCTGCATGGTCTGTTGTGAAAGATCCATTATCGCCCCAAATATTCTGTGCTCGGTTGAAAATTTGAATTTACATAAATATCGAATTGTTTGTGAACATTAACCATTTGTAATATTTTCTTGATTTTGTCGATTGATTAGTGATAGCTAAATGACACGAAAATTATCGAGATAAAAAGGTGAATATATTTCCATTGACAATACATGTGGAATTGTTTATGCTTATAGTGCCTCAAAACCCAAAAGGCAAATAGCAATTTCAGAATATAGCCTCTACAAAGTTGTTAGTCCGGTTAAAATATAACTGATTTAAAAAGGAAATACACGGCTAATGGGTCACCCTGTATTTACAGCATACTAAGTGTCTCAAATTAATGTCAATATTTAATATGATGCAATAAATTATTCATATGTGTATACATGTTACTTTTAGAAGGGGAGGGGAAAAAGATTTATGGCAGTGGTACTTTCGACCCTACACAGCCACGTATGTATATGGATGTTCGTAACATCATTATTAATCATATCACGTCTTCAAGCCAACTCTGCTTAAAATGGTTTTTTGGAAAAAAGAAACGTTGCTATTTCACGAATGATCCGATACAACTATGAAATTGTTATTATGATGACCAACGCTGTACAGATTACGAAATATTGCTTATATGATTTGATTGTTTTTATTAATAATTGTTACAATGCTTTGAATAATCTGTTGTGTCATAATGTGTAATTACTACTGAAGATGCTTAACATGTTTTAATATATAAAAGTCGTGATACAAAGTGGCACTTTGACGTTGATGTAGACGAAGGTATTATGTAGGAAGTTGTGGTGATTGATTCGGGTCACATAACATAGCCAACAATTACAAGAATTTTTAATAGAGTGGAACAATTCTCATATAACCATTTTGAACAGCATTCGGCCATACGTCTTCAGTCGTCTCGAAGATGTCGTCGTTTGACAGCTGCAACAAAGCGTTAACTTTTAAATTTATCTTGCTAAAATACCTTGTTAATAACATCGCTGTCAAAATACTATCACAATGTCAATGACGACATCTATTCAATTGTTCTTACATGAATATATGTGTTAACATGTTTTAATAAATTCATATGAGATCATAATAGTGGTCAGCATACGCGATACACTTGCTCTGTGTTGCCATATTGCATGCACCTAAATGCATAAATATATTTTCAGCCATTTGTGCAGACGTCGAGATGATATTGGATCTGTCGTGTTCGCTATCACCTGCGATTAAGGATCTCGCACGTAATGTTTCAAGAGACATAGGATATCAAATATTAAGCTATAATCAATCAACCATGAAAGCAAGAGTTGGTATTCTAACATATGGACAGGAGGTGAATCGTGTAAAAAAATTAGGTAAAAACAAAAGATTTTCTAATTTACTTTGCTCATTGTCAAAGTTGCCTTTAATAATGATACAAATAATAAATTAAATAGTTAATGTACCTGTCCTGAAAGTAACAGGGCAAGTGCAGTTATTAATTATTGAATTCTGCATCCAGTATATGTTTAGATATTTCCTTAATATACTTCAATTTATTTGTTCGAAACTTCCCCAGAAATTATCATAGCAACTAATTATAGATTCAGTCGTCTTTCACGGTAAACACAGATTGTACAAAAACGTCACGCATTTTTGTGTGTCAATTTGATATACAACCTCAAGTTCTGTAATTTTCTCAGGACTATACTTTATATACCTTTAAATGTGTCAAGTTGGGAAGTCAATCTCCCTATCTTCCCGATGTGGTGTTTTATAGAGCAATCTATGACACCAGTATGCGGGTCGCATTGATTTTATGTTTTAATAAAGTGCTCATTTGTTTAGATTTTCTGGGTGACATTATTCTATATTCTTTATTATCATCCTGTCCTTTTATATAGAGACTCCATGCCATTAGTTTGTTTATTTGGAATGTCAACAAACATTTTCACGTTTCTAGACATGATCTCAAAAGCCTGGTCACAGCCTCTAGTCAGTATTTTCAAATTTCCAAAAAGTGGAGGCTTGACATTGCCCCATGGGACTGAAACGTTAAATAATCTAGCTGGTGTAGCTCTGCCCATGGTAGACATTGTTTCTGGTAACGTGATGTCAATAAACAGCTTTTATGTAGCAATAATTAATATCAGCGTTGTGTATCAATTTTACCATCATTTGGCCGAAAGCGTACGATAGAGCTTTTTGGACACCATGTATGTTAAAAGGTAGATCTTAATTTGCAATTTGTAAAAAAAATACTAAAGGATCAATCTAGTTGACGATAGGTAAATCTAGTAAGTGAAAAAATATTTCAGGATTATTGTCAATACAAAATAGAACAACTAATAGTATGCGAACATGGCAGTATCATAATTGAATGTGAGAAGCAATTACTGAGATACCTTCTCATTGGTCGAGCAATCTTTGTTAAAATTTTAACCTAGACCTTGATTATAAAGATGGTGCCACTCTGAATTAAATTACCCTGACTATTTCAATTCTATTTCAGATTCAAAATTAGACGTACTGAAAACCATGGAAAAATTCAAAAATATCGATGTTAGGAAGAAACAGGGTGAACTCTGCAGGACACACACACATCTAGCATTGCAAAACGCACAGAAATCTTTCACAAAATTCCATAGAACTGGAGTTAAACAAATAATCTTACTTTTTACCGATGGGCTGACCTTCCTACGACGAAATAGGGTACCGATGTACGTCACGAAAGGGGAACTAAAAAAGAGCGGAGTGATTTTGAATGTGATTAGTTTGCCACATAAGTAAGTAGTATAGAGCTGTATGATTTACATTGCTCCTAACATTTTACACAAGTTTATATAGTCAGGTGGTTTTAAGTCTTTGGGTAGAATGCACATACTTATTTTTATCAGGTTTATTTCACCATTCATTTTGAAACAAATTGCAGATATTATCGAAACATCTCGATAGTCTTTTTGTTTTTAATTTACGCCATATCCGTCAATATGTCATTTGGGAGATCATAGAGAAGAAATATTGAATGCATATCTGTGTTTCATTAATGTCTGCCTTTTCTTTATTCATTTGTATTTTGTATTCTTTCGTGAAATTTCTGATCAAATATTTCTTCTGTATTTTGATGTTTAAATAACAATTACCAACAACATGTAGATAATACCTAATAATTTAGTACTGCCTTTTATTAATCGAATGAAGCTCTTGAGAGCTTTATACCTTTCTAAATCTGTATTTACAGGAAAGGAAAGTTTGACGGGGATGAGTATAAATTGTTACCTCATTCTACCGATCATTTGTTTAACGGTACAGATCGTGGTATAGCAGACACTATTGTAAATAGAACAAGAATCGATGCCCCGTGTCCTCTCCTCGAACCATAGTGAGTTTATATGTTTGAGCCTGGCCATAGGATAACCGATCTTATCACAAAAATTAAAATTGTGCTACAGAGCCAAAAAAGATTAAGAGGAAAATGTGCAAAATTAAAATCCGACTTTTTGGTCTATAAATGCAAGGAAAATTGTCAAGACATAAGCCATGGCTCATTTGAAAGGTATTTTTGTGCTTTTTAAAATAAACAAAAAGTCAAAAGTATTGGAGACCCCTTTTCCTGTGGCCTGGATTATTTATATCAATAGTAGGATGTGTTATTATATTACGATTGCATGAATGTTGTGCATTGTGGTCAAAATATTTCTTCATCGTAGTACCAGCATATAAAATGTTCATATATGCTTTTTTATTTATAGATGTCTACTTGAGCCTTTTGAGACAATAGTGAACTACCTGCTACGTCTACACATTTTGTAAACATATGGTATATTTTTATAAAAAAAAGATGTAAATACAACGAAAATACACTTATACACATAACACTTATCTTTGTTAACATCATATTACACCCAATCTCATTTGCCACATGGCGCGTGAAACTAAGTCCAATGTGAGAACTTACCAGTAGTATGTTAGTAAGATAGGACCCCATGAAGACACCTGCAAACAATATGCAGGTGTAAAAGGGTAGGAGGTCCTATCAAATTATGGTCCTACTCTCCATTGATTTATATGGTGACCTAAATACAACTCTTTCCCTCATTATCTTATACACAATCAGGGCCAGTAAGGGCCGTTAAGAAAGGGGACCATTATCCCTGGGGGACCATCATTTCTTTCACACCGGATTAAATAGAACGGACATCTGAAGGAGCCCCAAATACTACGACAAGGACATCGCAAAGATAAATGACTATGATTGGACTATTATATGGAAACTGAAAGATGTGCTAATCACATTACTGGTTGACAACAATACCAGTTCCAGTTTGTTACCTAAATTATCCAATTTATTTTTGAACCCTACATCTTTGAAGGCCTCATTTTTTCGGGGTTCATAATCCCTCCCCTCACCATATCCGCCACTGCCTACATGTCACCAACAGCTTAGTGGTAGTGAAAGATACTTGCATATTTGTGTTTGGTTTGGACGCTCGGAGCTCGACAGAAACTTCATTTATCACCATAGCTGTTTATCATTGGGCGTTTATTTTCCTTCTCTGCGAATAAACATATCGCCTTTGCTGACTGACGTATTGTTAAAATAAATTATAATTAAACGACGTAAGATGTCAGTGTGACCCGTTTACATTATTTTTTTACTTCCGTCAGGGGAAATTATTGGCCTAGTTAAGCTAATTTTTGAGTATTGTAAGTCTACTAAATAGGTCAACAAAACTAGACTTTGGAAATTGAACGAAGTTCAATTTCAGACTCCAGATCTAGACTTTTTTTAAGCCCAGTCATCTAAAATAAGCCCAGTCATCGAGAATAAGCTGAGTCATCCAGAATAAGATGGATGGATAAAATTGGAAGGTAGGATAGGATAGAATGGGAAGGAACGATAGGATAGAATAAGAAAGAAGGATAGGATAGAACAGAATAGGAAGAAAGGATATGATAGGAGAGGATAGGAAGGATAGGAAAGAAAGGATACGAAGGAAGGATAGATAGGAAGGATAGATAGGAAGGATAGGATAGGATCAGATAGGAAGGATGGGTGAATTTTTCAATATTTTCTTCTCTACTCTTGACTTTCTATCAGGGTACCATCAGATCGATTTTCCGAAATTTCAAAACGCCATAACTTCCGAACCGGAAGTCGGATCTAAATTTGATTTAAAGATTCGGATTCCTGACAAAATTCTACCACTAATTCATAACTCATACGTTAAATTTGGCGAATTTTTATTTTGACCTACTTTTTGGACACGCCATAACTTTGGAACCAGAAGTCGGATCGAAATTTGGTTTGCAGATTTGGATTCCTGACAAAATTCTACTCTTAATTCATAACTCATACGTTAAATTTGGAAACTTTTTATTTTGACCTACTTTTCGGACACGCCATAACTTCCGAACCGGGAGTCGGATCGATATTTAGTTTGCAGATTCGGATTCCTGACAAAATTCTACCCCTAATTCATAACTCATACGTTAAATTTGGAGAACTTTTTATTTTGACCTACTTTTCGGACACCATATCTCAAAAGTGGGTCAAAATACTTTCTGACGGCAAAAGGCTAACACTATTAGCACACTCTTGGCTACATGTATACACAATTTCGAAGAATATAATTGAAGTGTAGTGTCAGTATCGCAAAAATAAGGAAAACCATTGAATTTGACCTAGATTTTGACCTAGGAATTTTGGTGTCCAAATTCTGAAGCTAGATGGCTTTTGAGGTCCCCTTTTTTTGAAGGCTTTCATTAAATTAAGCTGAACTCAGTCTATATTTCGTATTTTTCACTTCAAAAAAATCTTTTTTCCCATTGACTTAACATGGGCACAAAATTTAGCGATTTTTGAGTTTTCAAAACGCCATAACTTCTGAACCAGAAGTCGGATCGAAATTTGGTTTGTAGATTTGGATTCCTGACAAAATTCTACCCCTTATTCATAACTCATACATTGAATTTGGAGCACGTTTTGGTGTGACCTACTTTCTGGACGCCATATCTCAAAATCGGTTTGAGATATCTAAAAAATAAATCGACCCTAGCTTTCCTACTTTTTTATGAGGAACACAATGAAAAAAACCTGGATCGAAAATATTGAAGGACGACTGAGAAAATTGAAAAAAGTGACAAAGTACTGGATTTGACCTAGTTCTTGACCTTTGACCTAGATAAAAATTTGACCCAATTTCCGAGAAACTAGATACTGGACCTAAATTGACCATATACAGGACTTGACTCAATGACTTCTAGTTATTGAGAAAACGCGTAGAGAAAAATAATAATAATAACTAGATTTGTGAAATTGAACAAGTTCAATTTAAGACTCCAGATTTATTTTACCTAGATAGATCAGTAAAGAGCTGAGTAATTAACTGAGTAATTAGCTGAGTAAGTACCTTAGTAGTAGTTGAGTAAGTAGCTGAGTAAGTAACTGGGTAAAAAGCTGAGTAGGTAGCTGAGTAAGTAGCTGAGTAAGTACCTGAGTTAGTAGCTGAGTAAGTAGCTAAGTAAGTAATAACTAATTAAGCAATTGAGTAAGTAGTCAAATAAGTAGCTGAGTAGGTAGGGAGGTAAAGTAGGGTATGTAGGAATTTTTGAAAGTGTATTTGATCAATCTGCATCGTGAATACTGGCAAGTGCGAATTTCAAACTTCAAAATGGCTTAGAATCTTAACCAGGGGTCGGATTGCAATTTTAATTTCAGATCCGGATTCCTTAGGAAATTCTACCCCTAATTCATAACTCATACGTTAAATTTGGAGAACTTTTTATTTTGACATACATTTCGATCACCATATCTCAAAAGTGGGTCAAAACACTTCTTGACGGCAACAAGTTAACATTATGAGCACACTCTTTGCTACATGTATACAAAATTTCGAAGAATATCATTGAAGTGTAGTGTCCGAATTGCAACAATAAGAAAAAACTAAGAATTTGACCTAGATTTTGAACTAGGTATTTTGGTGTCCAAATTTTGAAGGAAAGTAGCTTTTGAGGTCCCCTTCTTTTATGGGCTTTCATTATGTTTAGCTGTACTCATTCTATATCTCGTATTTTTACACTTCAAAAAATTATTCGGTCCCATTGATTTAACATGGGGCACCAAATTTAGCGATTTTTGAGATTTCAAAACGCCATAACTTCAGAACAAGAAGTCGGATCGAAATTTGGTTTGCAGATTTGGATTCCTGAGAAAATTTTACCTTTAATTCATAACTCACTCATTAAATTTGGATAGTTTTTATTTTGACCTACTTTTCGGACACCATATCTCAAAAGTGGGTCAAAATACTTTTTGACGGCAAAAGGCTAACACTATGAGCATACTCTTTGCTACCTGTATACAAAATTTTAAAGCAAATCATTTGAATATAGTGTCAGAATCGCAAAAATAAGGAAAAACTATGAATTTGACCTAGATTTTAACCTAGGGATTTTAGTGTCCAAATTTTGAAGCTAAGTAGCCTTCGAGGTCCCCTTCTTTAATAGGCTTTCATTATATTAAGCTGTACTCAGTTTATATCTCGTATTTTACACTTCAAACAAATCTTTTTTCCCATTGACATAACATGGGGCAGCAAATTTAGCGATTTTTGAGCTTTCAAAACGCCATAACTTCCGAACAGGAGGTCGAATCAAAATTTGGTTTGCAGATTCAGATTCCTGATAAAATTCTACCCCTAATTCATAACTCATACGTTAAATTTGGAGAATTTTTTAGTTTGACCTACTTTTCGGACACCATATCTCAAAAGTGGGTCAAAATACTTTCTGACGGCAAAAGGCTAACACTATTAGCACACTCTTGGCTACATGTATACAAATTTTCGAAGAATATTATTAATCTGTAGTGTCAGAATCGCAAAAATAAGGACAAACTTTGAATTTGACCTAGATTTTGACCTAGGCATTTTGGTGTCCAAATTTTTATGAAAAGAAGGTCTTGTGGTCCCTTTCTTTTATGGGCTTCCATTATGTTTAGCTGTGCTTAGTCTATATCTCGTATTTTACACTTCAAAAAAATATTTTTTCCCATTGAATTAACATTGGGCACCAAATTTAGCGATTTTGAATTTTCAAAACGCCATAACTTCTGAACCGGAATTAAGATCGAAATTTGGTTTTCAGATTCGGAATCCTGAGAAGATTTCCTATAAGACTGATATCCCGGACATTGGATTCGGTGAAATTTTTTTTGGACCTCGTTTTCGGACACTGATATCTCGAAATCGGTTTGAGATACCAAAAAACTAAATCGACCCTAGGTTTTCTACTTTTTTATGAGGAACACAATGAAAAAAACCAGGATCAAAAATATTGAAGGACAACCGAGATAATGGGAAAAAGTGACAAAGTACTGGATTTGACCTAGTTCTTGACCTTTGACCTAGATAAAAATTTGACCTAATTTCCCATCATCCCAGATACATTCCCTAGTTAATCATGTAAGCAGCTTAAAGTAAGCTCTTCTAGTTGGTGAGAAATCTGGGAAGGAGGAAGATTCTGAAAGAATAATAATAAAGAAAACTGGCAAAAGCAATAGACTCCAGATTTTCATCTGGAGTCTAATAATAATAATAAAGAAGAATACTGACGAAAACAATAGACTCCAGATTTTCAATCTGGAGTCTAATTAGTATGGAGCAGTGCCAACGGGAAAGGACCAAAAATGTGTAACTATCGCAAGCCATGGTTTAATATGAAAAGAAACAATGCCTAATACCCCCCACCCCTTCTTATCACTAAAGTACCGCTGTTACAATCCAAGTGCATATCGCATATGGAAATTCTATTCATACTTAAGTCATTACAATACATGTCGAAGAATAAATGTTAAGTTGGTAACAAGTTGATAACAACATCGAAAGTAGATTTAGATATTAGTATTTATGATTCATATGCTCATTTAGCTGTAAGTTACTTGCTTGATGCATAACAAATGGTAACAAAATAGATATGTTTGTTGCGGTTAATTTATTAGCACTTTACATATGTGCAAAGAAAACATATTGTACATGTTATGCAAGTTGGGCCTTGTACAAGATGGAGCATTCAGACTCAAACCACGTGGGATTGGAAAGCGATAAATAAGCAACTCTGCTTAACATAACCATCAATTAAAGTTGATGCTATTGCGTAAATGTAAACGGCATTAGTCGTTTCTCCTTTATTCACCTCTGGAACTGAATCATATATTACAAGTAAATGGGAATATGGTAAAATTAATGTATCTGATTGTCGATTTATAGGTACGTTCCATAGGATGCCATTAGGAGCTACATGTATAGAAAACTTCTCAGTATAGATAGCAATAGAATGTGAGTATGATATATATAATTAATTGTTAAAATGTACACCTCGAAATATCATTATTTTAAGTCAGCATCCAGGTCAAATAATAGTTAATGGAAGAGCTCACTTCTCGCCAATTAAACGCAAATCTTATTACAATTTGTTTGAGAACCTTACATTTATCAATTCAATTTAAACACATGTCCGGGGCTTTCCGCGAAGAATCTTATGGCCATATATCGTATCCATAATTAGAATATTGATGTGTAATTACTACACTTGTATCTTTCAACATTAGCCTACCAACAATAAAATCTGATAAGAGGGCAGATTCGGGGGCAGCGTCCGGGGATGCGGAAACTTTTACCAGGTGGGGACATTGACTCATTGATTTAGCCCTAGGGTAAGGACTTTTATAGGCAAACATTTTTTTAAATTCCTAACCCATGCGCGCACTGAGGAGGGGTCTCACGAAAACGTTTGCATCATGTTCCAAAGTTACAAATTGACATTAAAATTTCTCTCTTTCTAGTGAAAAATAAATACTTCAAGTTGAACTTTCTTGCAGAAATCGGCTAACCCCCGCCATCCGTTCATTTCCGATCACGGGAGCGAAAAACGAAAGTGGCGTCTCGCTTTTATCATTTGCCTATTTTAAGGCATTTTTGCTTTTTAGAGCAATGAAACATTTTTGCTCTGTATAACTATGAGTTTTTTCCCAATCAAGACCATTCCAGTGCGTACATACATTTATTTATACGTACATTCCAATATAACTATGTTAAAATGCACTTTTGCGTAATTCACCTTGATCGGTATATATTTGTCGACAAAATTGTTCATCGATTCATGCAAATACGAAAGATTTGACATTTATGTGAACATCATGATGGTCAATGTATTTTTAATTGATCCCGATGGGTCATTATACTTGTTAATAATCAATTTCTCATTTGTATCAAAGATAGCATGATTGTATGTGCTTAGAGATTAATAACTTGGGTGCCAGTAGTTAGTTACCCGTTTCATTGCCATGTTGCTAATTCGGGTCAAATAACATGGTAGATTTAGGGAAAATGTACCTTCAATTTCAATATCCATTAACTGTATTCAGTCGATCTGTTATGACATGCGCAAAGCTGTATTTAGTGATATTTTCATTTCAAATATGGCGGCCAATCCGATGACTGCCAACCCTTACAAAAAATCTAGGCAGTGTGCATTTTTACTTCCTGTGAAATAACAAGTGGAATTTAGTAGTTGTTTTGTGTTTTATTATCATTCTGCATTGTAATTCTATATAATGTACGTTGTTTTAACCGTCAGCAGAGATACATATCCATACGATAATCGAGTGAATTAGTTAACAGATTTTTCGAAAACCCGTCTCCTGCTAAGGATGTAAAAACTTGTATTAACATGCTCAAAAGTGCGAATGTGCACCTAAATTTCAAGTTAAATCAATGTTGTGTCTAAAACAAGTACCTGATCTACTCAAAACAGCTTGTCATTCACGTATACACGTTTGACAAACATAGCAAAATGATCTGAATCTTGGGATTTCGTTCGAGAGCTAGTAATGCTCTACATGTCTTCATCATAAGTGTTTATCATACCAATCACGTTTATAAATCAATTTTACGCATGCGTCTTACAAGGGTAAAGAAAGTCGTGTTCATAAACGAACCAATTTGAGATAACCCGATATCAGTCGGAGAAATCTGACGATCTACGAAACTCACTTCAAAAAATCAAAAGCGGACTAACGGCGCATTCTACTATGCTTGGATCTAAGATTTTCAGTATAGATAAAGTCTTTTGAGATCTGTCGAATGAGGTAAGTCTCTAGTTCGAAAGACAACTGCATCAACTTGAACAGTGTTGAGTTTTGAAGAAAAATGTTAACATGCGCAGAAGTCACATTTTCGTCGTACCATATTGACTGTATTGGATATATTTTCGTTTGAGTTTGATAATTATACAGTTGAAAATATGTTCAGTTAATGAAAACATCACCTGTCTGATACGCCTTTTACAAGTTTGTCGATGTCAATTATTGACAAGATTATTTGAAAGAAAATTAACAATTTATCACACAATGTCAAATATTTACAGCCCTTAGGTCACGATGACCTCGATTTGACCTTTGTTGACCTTATTTTATAAAACAATACTTTTATGGATGGGAAATTGAATGAGGTTTATAACAATACCAACATTGAAATCAGACAAGTAATAATTAATATCGTCAAGGCGGTCCAAATGACCCCCTCCCCCTTGCAAATTAGTGTTATAAAAGGCTGACATTAGACTATTAGGCTTAAAAGTATCATAATGTGGATGATGCCGCGAAGTTAAAACTAAGCAACTGGTAGAACCTAAAGCAAACAATATATTATTATTCTGGTGTGCCATTTGTAAAAAAGTGTCACATTTGGACTTTTGAAACCTTATATTTCAGCGAAATGCTTCACACCGATTTTGTACTATATGCCTGCATAAGTACTGTTGTATTGACCCTATTTCTGGCGAATGGTGACTTCACCTTTCGTACACTACGTGGTGTGAAACATAACTGGAAGAAAGGACGTAAGAAAATCTTTCCTACAGACGAATATATCGGAGAAGTAAATGGCACCAGCATAAACGTAATTATACGTAAGATAATTCACTTAGCTTATTCTCCAAATAAAGCTATTAACAATGTTGGTCTGACTGAGGTCTAACAAAATGGAAAAATTTTGAAATATATTTAAAGAAAAATGCATTAACACGCATATAAACTACAATATATAATATTTCATAATATCCATTGTCAATAATACTATTCTTGTAATTAGACTCCATATTGAAAATCTGGAGTCTATTGTTTTTGCCTGTTTTCTTATTAGACTCCAGATTGAAAATCTGGAGTCTATTGTTTTTGCCTGTTTTCTTTATTATTCTTTCTTTTTTCTTCCTCCTCACCAAATTTCTCGTCAACTATAACAGCTTACTTAATCCAACTTACATGGTTAACTTAAGACTGTATCCGGCTTTCTGGGAAATTAGGTCAAACTTTTATCTAGGTCAAAGGTCAAGAAATAGGTCAAATCCAGTACTTTGTCACTTTTTCCCATTATCTCGGTCGTCCTTCAATATTTTTGATCCTGGTTTTTTTCATTGTGTTCCTCATAAAAAAGTAGAAAACCTAGGTTCGATTTAGTTTTTTGGTATCTCAAACCGATTTTGAGATATCAGTGTCCGAAAACGAGGTCCAAAAAAAATTTCTCCGAATCCAATGTCCAGGATATCAATCTTATAGGAAATTTTCTCAGAATTCCGAATCTGAAAACCAAATTTCGATCTGACTTCCGATTCAGAAGTTATGGCGTTTTGAAAATTAAAAAATCGCTAAATTTGGTGCCCCATGTTAATTCAATGGGAAAAAATATTTTTTTGAAGTGTAAAATACGAGATATAGACTAAGCACAGCTAAACATAATGGAAGCCCATAAAAGAAAGGGACCACAAGACTTTCTTTTCATAAAAATTTGGACACCAAAATGCCTAGGTCAAAATCTAGGTCAAATTCAAAGTTTTTCCTTATTTTTGCGATTCTGACACTACAGATTACTTATATTCTTCGAAATTTTGTATACATGTAGCCAAAAGTGTGCTAATAGTGTTAGCCTTTTGCCGTCAGAAAGTATTTTGACCCACTTTTGAGATATGGTGTCCGAAAAGTAGGTCAAACTAAAAAGTTCTCCAAATTTAACGTATGAGTTATGAATTAAGGATAGAATTTTCTCAGGAATCCAAATCTGCAAACCAAATTTCAATCCGACTTTTGGTTTGGAAGTTATGTCGTTTTGAAAGCTCAAAAATCGCTAAATTTGGTGCCCCATGTTATGGCAATGGGAAAAAATATTTTTTTGAAGTGTAAAATACGAGATAAAGACTGAGTACAGCTTTACATAATGAAAGCCTATAAAAGAAAGGGACTTCAAAAGCTAGCTAGCTTCACAATTTGGTCACCAAAATGCCTAGGTCAAAATCTAGGTCAAATTTATAGTTTTAACTTATTTTTGCGATTCTGACACTACACTTCAATTATTTGCTTCAAAATTTTGTATACAGGTAGCAAAGAGTGTGCTAATAGTGTTAGCCTTTTGCCGTCAGAAAGTATTTTGACCCACTTTTGAGATATAGTGTCCGAAAAGTAGGTCAACATGAAAGTTTCTCCAAATTTAACGTATGAGTTATGAATTAAGGGTAGAATTTTCTCAGGAATCCGAATCTGCAAATCAAATTTCAATCCGACACCCGGTTTGAAGTAATGGCGTTTTGAAAAATTAAAAAATTGGTATTTTGATATCCCATGTTATGTCAATTATCTTTGTCACTATTCGTCGTTATTCCTTTATCTTTTTTTCATCATGTAGCTTAAAGACAGTCCTTTCATTATTGTAACTGTCTTTTTTGATTTCTCTTACCGATTTTGAGGAATGGCGTCCGGAAAGTAGGTCAACATAAAAAGTTCTCAAAATTTAATGTATGAGTTATGACACAAACGTAGAATTTTCTCAGAAATTCGAATCTGCTAACCAAATTTCGACCCAAATTCTTGTTAGATAGTTATAGCTGTTTGAAGTCTCGAAAAGTTGATATTATGATATCCCCATGTTAAGCCAATGTAGACGAAGATAAGCTACTTAAGAGTTGTCTAAATGTCTGTATTCTAGATGACTCAGCTTATTCTGAATGGCTCAGCTTACAGTATTTTGGATGACTCAGCTTAAAAAAAGTTTTAAATCTGGAGTCTTAAATTGAACTTGTTCAATTTACATGTCTAGTTATTCTTTCTTTCTTCCTCCTAACAGATTTTCTCTCCAACTATAACATCTTACCTAATCCAACTTACATGGTGAACTAAAGACTGTATCCGGCTTTCTAGGAAATTAGGTCAAATTTTTATCTAGGTCAAAGGTCAAGAACTAGGTCAAATCATACATTTTCAACATTCTTCATCATATCTTCGTGAATATTCTTCGTAACTCCTTCATCTTTTTTTCATCGTGTAGCTTAGAAAAAGGCGAATCAAAGATATGACATCAGAATTTTGATTACTCTTACCGATTTTGAGATATGGCGTCCGGAAAGTAGGTCAGAACAAAAAGTTCTCCAAATTCAACATGTGAGTTATGAAATAAGTGTAGAATGATCTCAGGAATCCGAATCTGCAAACCAAATTTAGATCGGACTTCCGGTTCGGAAGTTATGGCGTTTTTAAAGCTCAAAAATCTCTAAAGTTGGTGCCCATGTTAAGTCAATGGGAAAAAAGACTTTTTCGAAGTGTAAAATACAAGATATAGACTGAGTACAGCTAAACATAATGAATGCTTATAAAAGAAGGGGGACCTCAAAAGCTACATAGCTTCAAAATTTGGACACCAAAATGCCTAGGTCAAAATCTAGGTCAAATTCATAGTTTTTCCTTATTTTTACGATTCTGACACTACACTTTAATAATTTACTTCAAAATTTTGTATACATGTAGCAAAGAGTGTGCTTATAGTGTTAGCCTTTTGCCGTCAGAAAGTATTTTGACCAACTTTTGAGATATGGTGTCCGAAAAGTAGGTCAAAATAAAAAGTTCTCCAAATTTAACATATGAGCTATGAATTAAGGGTAGAATTTTCCTAGGAATCCGAACCTGCAAACCAAATTTCAATCCAACTTTCGGTTCGGAAGTGATGGTGTTTTGAAAGCTCAAAAATCGCTAAATTTGGTGCCACATGTTATGTCAATGAGAAAAAAGATTTTTTGAAGTGTAAAATACCAGATATAAACTGAGTACAGCTTAACATTCTGAAAGCCTATAAAAGAAGGGGACCTCGAAGGCTATCTAGCTTTAAAATTTGGACACCAAAACGCCTAGGTCAAAATCTAGGTCAAATTCATAGTTTTTCCTTATTTTTGCGATTCTGACACTACACTATAATAATTTACTTCAAAATTTTGTATACAGGTAGCAAAGAGTGTGCTTATAGTGTTAGCCTTCTGCCGTCAGAAAGTATTTTGACCCACTTTTGAGATATGGTGTCCGAAAAGTCAAAACATGTCAAAAAAAAAAGTTCTCCAAATTTAACGTATGAGTAATGGATTAAGGGTAGAATTTTCTCAGGAATCAGAATCTGCAAACCAAATTTCGATCCAGCTTCTGGTAGTTATAGTTCTGATAGTTATATCAGTTTGAAGTCTCGAAAAGTCGATATGATGATATTCCCATGTTAAGCCAATGGAGTCGAAGATAACATTCTTAAGAGTTGTCTAAATGTCTATATTCTAGCTGACTTAGCTTATTCTGAATGACTCAGCCTACAAGTATTTGGATGACTCAGCTTAAAAAAAGTCTGAAATCTGGAGTCTTAAATTGAACTTGTTCAATTTACATGTCTAGTTATTTCTGCTTTTAGCTCATCCTTTGTTAGCTATAATTACGTTGATTTGCCATTTTAGATAGGAAAAATGAGATCAAAAGGAACCTCAATACTTTAGGTGAGTGATGTACTGATTTTGCTTCAGATACTATAAATCAATTTATTATAAGTAATAAATATGCATGATTTTAACTTTAAGAAAATCAGTCTCATCGTGTTTCTTGAAAATTGACCTAGAATAAAAAGAGTAAAGGTTCCAAATTCAAAGTCAGTAAAATCAATGTCATTTGCATATACAATAATTTGTAATCACATTATTCGTTTAGTTTGTGCAGACATTCAGGTCATACTTGATTTGTCATGTTCGGTTGGCGCAAAAACCAAAAGGGAGGCCAAATCAATAGCTGGTAATGTTACCTATGAGCTGATTAACCTAGATACAACTCGACCACGAGTCAAAGTTGGAATTATGACATACAGTGAAAACATAAAGCATATACTACGGTTAGGTATAAAAAAAAGTTGTATTCATTCTTTAAATACCTTTAACACTTTATAACACAAGCAACACTAGAACTTTTTATAACACTGGTATATGGGTGTAGCCAGGCTCAAAAATAGGAGAAGCAAATTTGAATTGACGAGGCAGTATTGAGTCAAAACACTATTTTAACAGTTTCCATTGAAAAGGGCGTCTGAATTAATATTTGTAAGTAAATCATTGGCAAGGTATGCCTTGCAATGCCCATGGAATAGTCAATTGTGGAATGATATAAATGTAACTTTGACAATATTTGAGATTTCAAAGGTCCATATGCAGTATGGCAAGTGATTTTAGACGGTCATATCTTTCACCATGAGTACATTCTGGGCATAAATACCGTGGCTTTTATTAAAACAATATGTTTTCTTTCAAGTGAAGTCCCCATGATGATAAAAATATCAATCGAACAATTCGAAAAATTATAAATAATCAACACTTTTTTCAAAATGTTGAACTTATTTGCTCAAAAGATGATCTTATTCTTCTGATTTTTATTGCATAACATCATTATTCAACAAGGTGTCTAATAAATAAACACTTTTTGATAATTAAACTAAAAATTAGGTAAAAGATTGACGATCTGGACATTAAACTACTGGTCTTTACATTTCCAGATAAATCACAAAATGAAACAACAATTTTAGACGCCTTTGCTAATATGAGTTTGGAAAAGAGTCCAAGTGACTTATGTAGAACATCTACACATATTGCTCTCGAGGAAACGAGAACTATACTCAAACATATTAAAAAGACAGACAGAACACAAATCATTCTTCTGTTCACTGATGGGTTAACGTTTTTAAGACGATATAGAAATGATTTGTATGCAACAGCGAAGGATCTAAAGGACAGTGGCGTCATCATTCACATTATAGAATTACCACACAGGTAAGGCAAATAAAACAATATTATACCTTCTGTTTTCCTGTGGAGTTAGAGGCTAAACTTGACACCAGAGGTGTCATGAGCGACAGAAAAACTATCCACTGCAGATTTCCAAATTGTGGAAAATGGGGGAACTAACCCATAGAGGGCCATTATTCTATACGTTTACTTTCTATTTTTAAAAAAGCGTGTATCTTAACCTCCATATTATGCTGTTTTCTGATTCAGGCGTGGGAAGTATCAAAATATAGAATTCGCTACTTTGGCTCATTCACATAAGCATCGCTACAAAGGTACAGATTGTTCAAATGTTGCAAACGATGTATTTGAACGTATCCTATCTGACGCCGCGCCATGCCCCGATATAGGTAATACATAACTATACAGTATATATATATAAATAATTTTCTCACTTTCTGTTGACTGAATGGAATGTGTCTAAAATTGTGTTTTCGATGCCATCTCTTGGATTTTAATGTTACTTGTCAGTGATTTATAAACTATGAATTCAAATATTCGGCTATTACTTCACGAAAATACACTTCTGAGCTGTTAATGAATGTACTCTATTCAAACATGATCGTTCTCTGTTTGAGTTTATCAACCAATCAGCATGCAGCATAGCCGTTCTTTAATTCTCCATACATGCCCGACCGTGCACCTATTCGATGTGCTTTCGGGAATATGTATTGGGTTATTTTATGACGTCGTATTTTAGAATGACGAAAATAGCAAATTTCATGGAACTCAGTCCCTAGTTCCCCGAACAATGTTTTCATTTTTATGTTTGAATCGGAATAGATAATGATAGGTCATTCAATATGGTGAAACTCTACACTCTTGGATATAATATCAGTACAAGTGCATTCACATTCGATTCGTGATTTGTACGACATAGCATTCTATCCAACTCGTGCTGGATTTTAACCATATTAGATGGCCTATCATTATTCATTCCTTAATCTACTTTTCAGGACTACCTTATTACTCAAAGTGTGCATTCGACTGGACGTTAGAAATTAAGAATTACTGAAGCGGAATTTGTCAGGGTAGACCGAATTATTCAATCCACCATTCGTATAGTGCATAATGTACTATATGACCATTGGAACCATTTCATCTGAAGTAGCCTCACTGGTGGATAATACGATAAAGCATGAAGTAAGAACGTGTATCCAACTTTTGAAAGATGTGGAAACGTCGACATATTATTTCAGATAGCATCCCAGCAAAAATGAATACTACTGAAAATTAGAACTTTATTCTTTGATGAAACATTTCTAGAGTAATGCTTATAATTATACATTGCCTTAGTAGACATATTGCTTGGTGTTGATTTCGAGTGTACCCCTCCAAAATGACTAGCTTACTACTGGTAATGAGGACTTTATCCTTGAAAAATATGGAAAGTACATTGCTTTTAATTATGCATTGCTTATGTAGGCATATTGCTTGGCGTCGAATACACAGTACACAACATAGTCAATTAATAAGGAAATAGATATGACAAATACAAACAGTGTATGGCATGTGGAATATGAGTTATTAACAGATTACGTATAAAAAATGTCATCATTATTAACCTATTGGATGCCCAAAAAACGGATACATCCGAATCCGTCAAGAATGTGGCTATAGTTGAGTTAAGAGTTACACTTCTTTTTGAATTTTCCGAAGCACGAATAAGATAAATGATTCAACAAGTCTGATACATATTCTAAAATTAAATATATTTGATCTGAGTAAAATAAAATCATATACTTTGAAAAATTCTAAATCTCGAATTATTGCAAATTCCAGCATAGGTTTCCCATTTTGTATTCTTTGGAGGCTCCAATCGGAAAAACGATGACCACGAAATATATGTGAAATGGATATGTTATCTGATTTACGCACCAAGCTTTCAAACGTTAATCCATTAACGTCTATGTCCCATATAAGGGACGGTTTTATCTTTGTATATATTGGAAGATGACAGTATTGACTCGATAGTACTTTAAATTTCTTAAAAAAGAAGATATTTCTCTGCAAGGTCAAGGTCACTGTGTAGCAGAGGTTTTTTGAAATTTTCACAGGAAATGGCTCAATGCCCCTAAATTTGAAATATTAGTCTAAGAATGAACACCTATTCCAAGTACACGTAGGTATAGTTTCAATATATCATTAAAAAACTTCTGAAAATTATTTGAAGAATAATGTTCACTATTTGCTAATTTCAATTGCTAGTTTCAATTGGTTGTTCTGTTTTTTCTTCAATTTTTTGTTCTACTTTTGTTATCTATTATCTACTTTTGTAATATCGCAGGCCTCTTATTAAACGTAGTAGGAAAATCTGATAACACAAAGATTGCTATTTAAAATGCTGCACAGCAGATTTCTGGCGTTTTCCGAAAATGTGCCGAACATCTTGTCAATATATTTGCCATAAAACGATATAGTCCATGGTATGACTCTACAATTTGAAGAATTAGAAGCACAATATATATAACGCAGAAATATATCAACCAATATTTAAGGAGGTCCATACTGTTTGCTGAAAAAACTTTGGACTTTTGTGTAATTACATAAATGTGCTTATTATGTTTTGTTTACTTTTTCAAACATTGGTCAAGCAGATTCAACAAGAGTGTGAATTATTTTTAAAAATCATAATTTCAAACATATTAATTAGGTTTTTACTATTTGAAAATTTCATCTGAAGAATTTATCCCTAATTCGCCTTGAAACGAACAAGAAATAACTGTTTTAAAAACATAAAACAATGACAAATAGTTGTCTATTTGAGTGTTATAGAGGAATTGGAACGTTTATATATTTAGAGGGCATATATTATAGTCTATAAGAGACATATGCTATCAAAAGCCTTACAATTCTCTTTCGACGTAAGAAAATGCAATGATAGTCAAATACGAAGTCAATGGTAAGTATTTAAATATTCAACATATTATCTAGTAGGAAATGGATGAATATAACGATCGGATTTGGAAAAAGACATATATGAAAAGTATAGGAATCAATAAGTAACCTTAATGTCAAATCGAATCAAAATCCAATATGATCCGAAGCGTAAAGTGAAATATTAATAATGTTCCATACATTTATAGACTTGTCAGTCGCAATATTTGTATCAGAATATATACATCGGTAAGTTTACATTGCTTTATGATGCAGAATACAGCACGCACTCGGACAGTTATCTGGTTACTAGTAACTTTTCTAGCTATTCGGGAATCTACTGCTAGGAAGAAAAACCGTTTGAAATTTAGAAAAGATCAACCCCACGAGGTGGTTGTTGATACTGGTGACCAGAAAATCCAGGTCGTCATTCGTAAGTAGAATATTAAATGTAACTCAATATTTGAATTATATATTTTTATTTTTATTTATTGATTTCTCAATTCACCCCTTATAGGGTATAAGAGTACAAAAGACAAACTTAACTAATACAGTAACAAACATTAAAATAACATTTATATACATGTAAGAACATTTTTTTGCCCAGCCTCGATTAAAAATTTACAACGTTTTATGAGTATATTTTTGTTTGAATTCATTAAGTTCTCAAACTTCTGTGTGTTTGGTCTTGTGGTACAACATTTAGGAAGGTATCTTTTTCTAATATAACTTAAAGCTTTGCATTCTAAAATGACATGAAATTCATCACCTATTCCTTTACCACATAAATCACAAAACCTATTTTCCCTAGGAATATTTTTATAACGTCCTCTTTCAACTGGAAGTTTATTATTACACAATCTGTACATTATTTTCTATATTTATCTGGCATACAGTCTAAATACTGTTCAGATGAAAATTCTGTTTTAAATATTTTATAGTTGTAACTTTTACTACTGACTTTCATGTCACTATTCCACTTTTGTAAAAACTGATCATAAGAAGTATTAATTTTGGCTTTTGAGAATATACAAACGGATAATACCTCACCCTCCACCGATTGAACACCGTAAATGAAACAAGAAACTGCGAAGTGTGAGGCTGCATTACAGACTTGATAAGTAGGAATTTTGATAATGTGGCGATTGGGGATAAAGGAAGTTTTGTATTTTGGAAATAAATTAAAAGCTCTTAATATTATAATTTCTGTCAAAAAGTAGGTCGAATTAGGTAAAAAATCGCCAATCTAGGTGATCACATGGTTTTGTTCACTTTTGCAAAACTTTAAGGTGACATCTCAGTACTTTCCTACTTAACATTATTTATGAAATTATGAACAACATCCCTTTTCAACATACTGTTTTGTCTATTTCCTATGTCAACCTTATTACTTACATCTATATAAAACAGGGCTTTGTCTCTTTTTCAATTATCCATTTTTTCCAAATAACTCAATTGGTTCTTGCAACATTGTTTGTATCATTAAATGATTTTGTACTTTCAGAAGGAATCAACAAAGTGAACCCTCCAGATGATCCTGGGGGTTTAGGTAGGATATTTATATTCACAGGGCAACGGTAGATCCTCAGACCATCTACTTGAATATTTTTGGCAAAATGCAATAACAAATATCAATTAATGAGAAATATTTTTAGATTGACTGACTGAAAATTGCTAAACATGGTGAGCCAAAAAACGTCCATGATTTCAATTGGCGATAGTTTTTGAATGAAATTTTAAAATATTTTCAGTAGATTCAAGAATAGAGCGATGCCCTCATTATCCTTTAATCAGTTACATTTAATATATTGTCAAATGTGTCGATACAATGCAAAATGTCGATAATGTATTGTCAAAGATGTCGAATGTTTATATACTTCCGATACCCCGAGCATTTTAAACATGTATTACGATTTGAACTAATAATAAAGTGATTCAAGTTGTTTGGAATACGTATACGCAAACTTTTACTTGGACAATCAGGTATTGCACTTGGGAGGAACTCTGGGAACGAAGATGTATAGCAGAGGTCTAGATAAGCTGTCGCCATTCGCCCATTGCGAATATTTTTAGCACCTGGCGAAGATCTTGATCTAAATATTCGCAAAGGTGGCGAAGATCTTTGTACAGAACCTACCTGAGAAACAGATAAATTATCGGGGATTCTTCGTTTTCAACTTTCGTAATTTTTGTAATTTCACCCATGAGACGCCACAATTATTTTTGTTTCAATGGAAATTTAACACGGGGCACCTTCACAAGACATGTTGCGTTCGGTATTTTGATGAATCAATTGAGACGCCAAAACTTATTTTCTAGTCAATGAAAATTTAACATTAGCTCATATTCGCAAATCTGTTTCGTTCGTTTTTCTGATACATTCAATCTCTCTGTGTGTTGAGCTAAATATTTCAAAATTATGCCGGGACCATTGAGGTCTTTCCGGCCAGACTGGAAGGCAGGGCGGCCTTGGCTTAAATACAACGACGGAAAGATGACTTGTGGAATTTGTCTGAAATATGAAAGTCAAAGTGACACTCGGAATATTTGTAAAATATGTTTTTTGTGAAAATATAAGAAAATATTGTGGCTAATAATTTTTCAGAGTGGCTAATATTTTTTAGAAAACATTAGCCACATTGGCTAATAACTTTTTCAACTTATCTAGACCCCTGTGTATAGGGTACGCCGCGTTCATCATTCGGCAAAATATTTTGCAAGCATGTAGTTCGTGAGTTCTGGTTTCAAAATATGAGTACAACTTCGAAATTAATTATGCCATTTCTGTAAGCAAGACACTCAGGGTAAGCCCTCCCCAGGTGGTGTTTACGTCATTTAAGAGTGTAAGTTGCAGTTACGTATAAGTTTGGCTGAAAACTTATATCGAAACCTCTCTAATATGAGAGTTTCTGATTCAAATATACGCTTTTAACCTTTTACGTTAGACGATTTTTTAATGTTTGGAATCGGTTTTGTTGTGACAGGTTCCCTTCACATCTATTTTCATTTGTGTTTTCAATCATTTTTGTTCTTACCCCTTTGGCTAAAATGACAAAATTAATGGTAGAAAGGGAGACTCAACGTTTTATGTTAACTAAAGCCTTTAGTCATATTCGGGCGTATGGCTGCAGCAGCTTCACAAAATCGATATAGAAAATCTTCATTGCAGTGCTTATCCCTATATTTTATGCTGCATATTTCTCTCGATTTTGGGAAGTAACGACCGCCGTACGATTGCTATAGATCAAAATTGACCGAGGCATTAATATAACTTCAATATACTTTACCATATTTTAGGTTGTGCAGATGTACAAATTGTTCTCGACTTGTCGTGTTCAATTTCGAGAAAAATGAAAATTAAAAGTCGAGACATTGCCAAAGTTATCTCCGCTGACTTTCTCTCTAGCTTTGATCCTTCTATTGGACTAAAGGTGCGAGTAGGAATCATCGTTTACGCAGAAACTGTCCGCCAGATTTTGCCTTTAGGTAAGACTGCTTATGTATGTATGCCTTGCAAAAGTGTCTATAAAACAAGTGACATGAATAATTGCGTTTGGAGGGGTTTCATGTCATTAAACACTATATTGAGAAAGATGGCAGCATTTCTATCCTTTTGGAAAACTTGATCACATTGCCATCTATGTCAATCAGTAAATATAAATGCTAATTTGTAATTTCCTTCCTTTCCTGAACTCATTCAATTTCAAGTTCGAATGCAAAATCTAATTCTACAATTCTGTTTTAGATAACAACATGACGAATAAAGAGGTAGTGGATATCCTTGGTCAATTGAACCTGACTAAACATGATGAACATTGTAGAACAATGACACACTTAGCCCTAGAAGAGGCAAGAACCATCCTGTCGACGAATAAACGAAGAAATGACGCGCAAATAATATATCTTTTCACCGATGGACTGACATTTTATCGTAGACATCGAAAAAAATTATATCAAACGAAAGATAAGCTGACCGATGAGGGTGTCATTCTAAATGTCGTTAGAATACCGCACAGGTATAAGTAAACTTATGAAGGCGTCATGTTGAAAGTCATTAGAATACTGGAAATGTATAAGTCAACTAAAGAAAGCGTCATACCGAATGTCATTAGAATACCGCACAGGTATAAGTTAACTTAAGAAGGTATCATACTGAATTTCATTGGAATACCGCACATGTATAAGTAAACTAATTAGGCGTCATACTGAATATCGTAAGTATACCGCTCAGGTATAAGTAAACTAAAGGAGACGCCATACTGAATTTCATTAAAATACCGCACGTGTATAAGTAAATTAAAAAAAGGCACCATACTGAATTCTAACAGAATACCGCATAGGTATTAGAAAACATATCAATAGGTAATTCTGATTGAGTAGTTACTATTGAAATAGCAAATAGGAGATATTATTGGCAAATATCTCATAATTTGTGTATTCACGTATGTAATTATTATTCAAATATGTAACGACATTTTACTTGTGTCTATGTTCAAGGAAAAATGAGGCTAGGCATATCATGGCGGCTAAAGATGAGTTTGATAAACTACCACATCATTTAGAGACTAATATTTTCAACGGCACTGATCCCGACGTAGCCAATGCTATAGTAGATCAATTTAAGAAAGATGCTCCTTGTCAGCAAACGGCATAGTAAGTATGAATCATACACAATTGTTTTATTGGTTGAAATGCCATACTACGAAGATTGTTTTTAAGAAATTAATTTATTATATTGTAGTAATATGATATGAAAGATGCATTAAAACACCGAACGTGTCTTGTGTATTATCATGAGTTTGAGTTTACAGAGTAACACAAAAGTAATATTTATAATAATCATGACTTTTTGTTTTCAGATGTTCACTAAAAACCACGGCCGCATTATCTGACTGAAGATCATCATTCGACAAATGGTTAAAGATAACGCATGGTTAAGGATAATATACTATAATATCATATAATGTCAAAAAATGTAACACTTTACACTCAACTATACCTTGCGTAAACCATATGGAGCCCATACACAGCAATCTATCATTGCTTAAATTGTCATTTAGATTATTCGAAAGTCTTATCGTAGGTTTTACACACACATTTTGCATTGAAACCCCGTTTCTTCCACATACAGGGTTGGAAAGTTGGGCTTAAGTTTCTTCCATACAGGACAGTGACTTTGCTATTAAAATAATCTAATAGGACAGAAATTGTTTGTAAATTCCATGGAATAAAAAATATACAGTCTTCATGTCATGGATATGTGTCCAAATTCTCAACAAAATGTTCATGAAAGATAATGAGATTCTGAATGAATACAGTATAACATATTTAAGCTTCGCTGATATTCGCAAATACAGCTACTGGCTTCCAACTAACGGATTATAGATTATTGATTACTGCAAAGAAGAAAGGTGCATTGTCCTTTACCAATCACATCTTTTTGATTTTTCGTTATTATCATACCAAACATTCAGAGGTATAATGTATGTAAACTCTGACCAAATGGAGAAATTTTTAAAGAATTTCGTAAATATGGTAAAAAGTGGATTGAATAGAACCAGTCTCATAATTGTCAGTTCAAAATTAGGGGTAGGGGTAACATAATTATATTACAATAAATTGGCAATCGCGCGTTAGATATTTATAACAGGATCTTAAGAGGTTCTGGACAAATCATTTGATTCTGGACTTGACATATTTTTTTTCCAACGAAATCACATCCAAGGGTTGAATTTTTATTGGATATTTAGAGAGCGAGTCCTGTATTGATTTCAATAAAAAGGTTAAAATAGAACGCTATTTGAGAGTTAATCTTATACTTTCATTACATTGATAAATTAAGGCAAATTCTGAAAAATTTTAAAGTGCATTTTTTATGAAATATTATCCAAGTATTTAGATGAAACGGTCTTATTTAAATACAAATCATAACATGATGATATTTTTTCATAAAATATTTCTTCAAGAAATTCAATTGAAGGCTCAGGATAAAACGAGCTAATTTAGGTGAAAACCCTTACATGATGATGTGTTTTCATGACTTCTTTCATAAAATTACATCAAGGGGTGAAAATAAAATGATCGAATTTAAGTGATTTAAGGATCACGAGGATAGGTTTTCTTGGATATTTTCTATGAAATCCCATCCAGTGGTCAAGGTAAAATTTTTATTTGGTATATTTGGTCACGTGTTCGAACCCATAGAACCATATAGGAACGTCATTTTGAATGTTACGTGATAAATCCATATAAGGCTTTTAGAACAATGTGGGGAAAGATGAGGGGAAACCCCTGACACCTGTTCACGATTTTATCCGAACGTTCATCGGATCATTTCGGCTTTTATGCACTTCATTATTTTACCGAAGTTTGCCGATTCGATTCGTCGTATTTCGGAATATTGGGGACAATTTTATACTCCATTGGGAGTATTTTTAATCTACTTCTTATTACGAAGATTCCCGAACCTTGTTCGGATTAATCCGGATTTTCTGACCTACTTCATCTACCGAGATTTAACGAGTTTACATTCGGCTCATTTCGGAATCCTGGTGACAATTTTATACTCCATTGGAGTATTTTTGATCTACTTCTTATGACGAAGATTTCCGAACCTTGTTCGGATTAATCCGGATTTTCTGACCTACTTCATCTACCGAGATTTAACGAGTTTACATTCGTCTCATTTCGGAATCCTGGTGACAATTTTATACTCCATTGGAGTATTTTTGATCTACTTTTTCTGGATTTTGCCCTACTTATTATATCTTTACAACAAGCAAATCAAAAAATTCGCCATGAACGGGTCTCGATCGACTAACCTAGAGCATGGAAGCTAGGCACGTTAGCCATGAGGCTAACGTGCAACCGATACGAAAGGATAAAAGTATTATATATTTATACCGAGCGTCAATTCAAAATGATCTTCACTTTTGACTGCACGTAAATACAACTCGTCAGTTGTATCCAGAATAGATGAACGCCTATGGTACTAGTGAATAACCAAGTCCCAGGCGAGTGGTTCGCACCCCACCGTGATATGTTATTTTTGCTTTTTTAATACGACAGAAAGGAGCAAGGTCACTGGCATGTAGCGGTCCTGATATCGATACATTCTACACGCAATAAAACCAGATACCTGCGTGTGATTAAAACTACATGTTAGAGCGTCGATATCCTACAAATCCTATTTTTTCATAAAAATATTTTTTCATGAAATCCAATCGAAGGGTGAAGATAAAACGATCTTTTAGGTAAAACAGCTTTACATGATCTGGTGATGTGTTTTCATAACTTTTTTCATAAAAGACCATTCTCGGTTTGGAGAACAAAGTTCGTCACTCTAATTGAGCGTTATCCCTGCTTCGGACAAATTTGATTTTTTTACATAATATAGATTTGAATGTCTTCTTTTGAATAGTCATAGTTTAATTTGGGTAATATTTCTAGATTTTTCATATAAAAATTACTAGTGAAACACCCAACGTCGCTATTATGATTCGTACCACTTTTTTAACTTGGTGTATTGCATATTTCCGTGGGTTGATTTGAAAAAAAGACAAACAACGTATACATGAATATGTCATAAGCATATAGTGAGATAATTGTTAGATTAGGTTTGCTATAAGTGACTTTAAAACAAAAAAATAAAAAACATTAGTTCACGTGTTAAAGTCCCATTGACCACGACATCAAGGAAAATTGAGCTTTTTGTCATCAGACATCTGAACATCTAAGATGTTATTTTTATTGATGAAAAGATTCTTACATACTAAAGTTACATTAAAATATCAATTGCAATAGCCACCTGTTTTTAACATCCCTTTGTCACTCATCCCTTAATTATCTCTGTGTATCTTAAACGTGTGTGTGTTCGATGTTGATAGCACCCGAGTGCAACCTAAGGAGCACATACAATACATTTTGTGTATGCCCAGTCTGGCCGCCTTATATCTGCCTGCACCGAGAAATGGGCGCAGCTTTGACAATTAACGAATGATATAACGATATCACGGATTTCACCGAATGTTATTCATCCCTAAATAGCTTTTTTATTTAGTCTTATGATCCGACTGATGTTTCAATTTTTTGCAGTGACTCTGAAATTGCTGCGCCAGATATGACATCACAGCGACTCATTTTCCTACATTTAAATCACTAAACTAAATCAATTGAAACATAATCATTAAAGAATGAGGACCTTGTATTTTACTTTGGACGAGGGTAGTGGCCATGTCTTGGCATGGCTAGTTGTGCATTAACGTTTGATACTGTTGTGCGGATAAAAATAATGAATATATGTTAAAGTAGCACTAAACAGATACTTTTAAAGTTAAAAGAATATAGTTACATTTAAAGAATGGGCCCAACGAATAGATATTGAATATAGGACTCGTTTGATGAAACGTTCGTTCTTTTAATTCTAATAAACCTAGAAATCAATCAACGATTAAGTAAATTGACAAGACTTCATGTTCAAGTTGGCTGAATTTCGTGTAACTTAACTCTGTTATGTTTCTAGATTTTACATATGGAGAACAGAATTCGAAATCATAATCACAATCGTATTTTAAGGCAAATAGGCCATGAATATGCTTTTAGTTACACGGTGGATGATCAAATTAACACATTTTGGATGTTGAATTTAATTTCAAGTTCATTCGAATTTACGCATTATCGTGGGAAAGCCCATGGCATTATCCAATAAAATTGATATATATACTGTCTAGGCTGAGACTAACATATATAATGTTATTTAATGTATTTAATATACAGGATATATCTGAGAAAGTTATGCAATATATCTACACGAGAAATAGTAGGGACCGAGGGTTGATATATTACCTTTACCTGTCGAAAATCGAGTATAAACTATGAGGATTAGATACGCATTGAATGTAATGGAACCGTCATGTAATAATTAGAAATGATAATCACAATCAAATCATGGATATTTTATCTAGATTTAAAGTGCTTAAGATTTATTTTTTAAAACTCAACCGAACTATTAACATTTAAAAGCACCGAACGAATTTTCTGGGGATTGCTGATGAGCGGGTGGGATGGGATGGGAGGGATAAAATGAAATACTAGATAAAATATTGATACCTTTACGCATGTCAATCTCAAATTAGAATGCATATATCATTATCTCTTTTATTCTTCTGTATTGTAATACGATAGTCTGATTATTGTCAATATCCTATACATGAAATAATGTACAACGTGTATTCTACATTGAATAACAAACGAAATAAAACTCATCTTTGTACGAATTTATTTTTCATATGACACAAAGTAACATAACATTGTTATATGTTGCATTTACGACTACTACAGCAAATCAGAAAATTCGTACAATATCAAACGTAAGAGTTGTTCACAAATACATTGGTATTTTGATATGAGTATCATGTAGTATTAAAATATTAAAATCATATGATCAGCAAGTTTATAAGCTTAATATTGTATTGTTTTTTATTTAAGTGTCGCATGCTTAATTTCATACATATACATCTGTACAATCATCCAAAAAGCCTCGAGCCACCAATGGCTTATGAGACACTGCTAATCAAAATAAATCATATAATATTATATAATAAGATGCATAATATGAGTCAGTTGCAGAAATAGGATTATGAATAAAGCAAAGTTCATGACCTCTATTACGAACATTGTTTGATGAACTCGATCACTCAGTCAGTTGTTGAACATATGCAAATGTGGTCAGGTTATAAATATAAGTACAATTTAAGTCCATGATATTTTCACATATTGAACATAACACTCAGTTCACAAAGAGATGTATACAAATCTAATCCACAAGTAGAAATGATTGTTTCATGCTGTTTATGCATTGTGTATAAACTGTAATCCAAAACATGAATAAAGTGGGCAAGAGGTGGTTGTATGATGGCCCATAAAATCACATTATGTAACACCGGCACCCTGGTTCAATATAGTGCAGTGGCCCATGTTTGATATACGTACATCAAAACTCATGTTTTTTCAAGGAAAGAAGCTAGATTAGTGATATATTGAAAAATCAAACTACTATACCCCAATACTGTAGCCCGTATTTCTTTAAAAGGAATACAGGCTACAGTGAAGTTGCAAATGGAGGACCTTTGTTTATTTCCATAGTTCTGGAGGAATACTAGATTTTACATTGTATAGATTCATCGAGCAGTTTGCAACGCACTATCACCAGAAAAGTCCTATGGAAAAGGACAAAGAATACCCGCT